CATCCACCAATCAGGTAGTGAACATCTACATCCACTAATCAGGTAGTGAACATAGATCTACATCCACCAATGTGGTAGTGAACATCTATATCCACCAATCAGGTAGTGAACATGGATCTACATCCACCAATCGGGTAGTGAACATCTACATCCACCAATCGGGTAGTGAACATAGATCTACATCCACCAATCAGGTAGTGAACATCTACATCCACCAATTAGGTAGTGAACAAAGATCTACATCCACCAATCAGGTAGTGAACATAGATCTACATCCACCAATCAGGTAGTGAACATCTACATCCACCAATCAGGTAGTGAACATAGATCTACATCCACCAATCAGGTAGTGAACATCTACATCCACCAATCGAGTAGTGAATATCTACAACCACCAGTCAGGTAGTGAACATAGATCTACATCCACCAGTCGGGTAGTGAACATCTACATCCACCAATCAGGTAGTGAACATCTACATCCACCAATCAGGTAGTGAACAAAGATCTACATCCACCAATCAGGTAGTGAACAAAGATCTACATCCACCAATCAGGTAGCGAACATCTACATCCACCAATCAGGTAGTGAACAAAGATCTACATCCACCAATCAGGTAGTGAACAAAGATCTACATCCACCAATCAAAAGTCACGAGCTAGACGGATGTCCCGCCATCGACACAGCCCTTCTCTTGAGATGCTGACGTCACTGGCCCCACTTTGAACGACATTCCGGATGTTTAGAAAACAATTGACAAAATGCTTATTGAAATGACGTCAAGAAAAGTTGACAAAGCTAAATATTGTTAACTGTTAAACACGCTATATTTAATTTTCCACGATATAAAAAACAAAACAAGCTAAAGAGCTTTAAAACTACCGTCGGTTGTTTTTTTTTCTCCGTTCTAATGTTCAGTGGTCAACTGGTTAGTCATCGTGTGGGCTAATTGGGTTATTTTGATGAAAGTTAATTAAATGAAATGACAATGCACTTATTTATTTTTGTTAACAATTGTATGTTAAAAGAATGTATGAAATGACTATCGATTAGGTAAAATCAATGTGTATCGAAGGTGCTACAGGTTAGCTGGTACCGTCTAGTTGGTACAGTCCAGTTGGTACAGTCCAGTTGGTACAGTCCAGTTGTTACAGTCCAGTTGTTACAATCCAGTTGGTACAGTCCAGTTGGTACAGTCCAGTTGTTACAGTCCAGTTGTTACAGTCCAGTTGGTACAGTCCAGTTGTTACAGTCCAGTTGTTACAGTCCAGTTGTTACAGTCCAGTTGTTACAGTCCAGTTGGTACAGTCCAGTTGGTACAGTCCAGTTGTTACAGTCCAGTTGTTACAGTCCAGTTGGTACAGTCCAGTTGTTACAGTCCAGTTGTTACAGTCCAGTTGGTACAGTCCAGTTGTTACAATCCAGTTGGTACAGTCCAGTTGTTACAGTCCAGTTGTTACAGTCCAGTTGGTACAGTCCAGTTGTTACAGTCCAGTTGTTACAATCCAGTTGTTACAGTCCAGTTGTTACAGTCCAGTTGGTACAGTTTAGATGGTACAGTCTAGTTGGTACAGTCCAGTTGTTACAGTCCAGTTGTTACAATCCAGTTGTTACAGTCCAGTTGTTACAGTCCAGTTGTTACAGTCCAGTTGTTGCAGTCCAGTTGGTACAGTCTAGTTGTTGCAGTCCAGTTGGTACAGTCCAGTTGTTACAATCCAGTTGGTACAGTCCAGATGTTACAGTCCAGTTGGTACAGTCCAGTTGGTACAGTCCAGTTGTTACAGTCCAGTTGGTACAGTCCAGTTGGTACAGTCCAGTTGGTATAGTTTAGATGGTACAGTCTACTTGGTACAGTCCAGTTGTTACAGTCCAGTTGTTACAGTCCAGTTGGTACAGTCCAGTTGTTACAGTCCAGTTGTTACAGTCCAGTTGGTACAGTCCAGTTGGTACAGTCCAGTTGTTACAGTCCAGTTGTTACAGTCCAGTTGTTACAATCCAGTTGGTACAGTCCAGTTGGTACAGTCCAGTTGTTACAGTCCAGTTGGTACAGTCCAGTTGTTACAGTCCAGTTGTTACAGTCCAGTTGGTACAGTTTAGATGGTGCAGTCTAGTTGGTACAGTCCAGTTGTTACAGTCCAGTTGGTACAGTCCGGTTGTTACAGTCCAGTTGTTACAGTCCAGTTGTTACAGTCCAGTTGGTACAGTTTAGATGGTACAGTCTAGTTGGTACAGTCCAGTTGTTACAGTCCAGTTGTTACAGTCCAGTTGTTACAATCCAGTTGGTACAGTCCAGTTGGTACAGTCCAGTTGTTACAGTCCAGTTGGTACAGTCCAGTTGTTACAGTCCAGTTGTTACAGTCCAGTTGGTACAGTTTAGATGGTACAGTCTAGTTGGTACAGTCCAGTTGTTACAGTCCAGTTGTTACAGTCCAGTTGTTACAGTCCAGTTGTTACAGTCCAGTTGGTACAGTTTAGATGGTACAGTCTAGTTGGTACAGTCCAGTTGTTACAGTCCAGTTGTTACAGTCCAGTTGTTACAGTCCAGTTGTTACAGTCCAGTTGTTACAGTCCAGTTGGTACAGTTTAGATGGTACAGTCTAGTTGGTACAGTCCAGTTGTTACAGTCCAGTTGTTACAGTCCAGTTGGTACAGTCCAGTTGTTACAGTCCAGTTGTTACAGTCCAGTTGGTACAGTCCAGTTGTTACAGTCCAGTTGTTACAGTCCAGTTGGTACAGTCCAGTTGTTACAGTCCAGTTGTTACAGTCCAGTTGTTACAGTCCAGTTGTTACAATCCAGTTGGTACAGTCCAGTTGTTACAATCCAGTTGGTACAGTCCAGTTGTTACAGTCCAGTTGTTACAGTCCAGTTGTTACAGTCCAGTTGTTACAGTCCAGTTGGTACAGTTTAGATGGTACAGTCTAGTTGGTACAGTCCAGTTGTTACAGTCCAGTTGTTACAATCCAGTTGTTACAGTCCAGTTGTTGCAGTCCAGTTGGTACAGTCTAGTTGTTGCAGTCCAGTTGGTACAGTCCAGTTGTTACAATCCAGTTGGTACAGTCCAGATGTTACAGTCCAGTTGGTACAGTCCAGTTGGTACAGTCCAGTTGTTACAGTCCAGTTGGTACAGTCCAGTTGGTACAGTCCAGTTGGTATAGTTTAGATGGTACAGTCTACTTGGTACAGTCCAGTTGTTACAGTCCAGTTGTTACAGTCCAGTTGGTACAGTCCAGTTGTTACAGTCCAGTTGTTACAGTCCAGTTGGTACAGTCCAGTTGGTACAGTCCAGTTGTTACAGTCCAGTTGTTACAGTCCAGTTGTTACAATCCAGTTGGTACAGTCCAGTTGGTACAGTCCAGTTGTTACAGTCCAGTTGGTACAGTCCAGTTGTTACAGTCCAGTTGTTACAGTCCAGTTGGTACAGTTTAGATGGTACAGTCCAGTTGGTACAGTTTAGATGGTACAGTCTAGTTGGTACAGTCCAGTTGTTACAGTCCAGTTGTTACAGTCCAGTTGTTACAATCCAGTTGGTACAGTCCAGTTGGTACAGTCCAGTTGTTACAGTCCAGTTGGTACAGTCCAGTTGTTACAGTCCAGTTGTTACAGTCCAGTTGGTACAGTTTAGATGGTACAGTCTAGTTGGTACAGTCCAGTTGTTACAGTCCAGTTGTTACAGTCCAGTTGTTACAGTCCAGTTGTTACAGTCCAGTTGGTACAGTTTAGATGGTACAGTCTAGTTGGTACAGTCCTGTTGTTACAGTCCAGTTGTTACAGTCCAGTTGTTACAGTCCAGTTGTTACAGTCCAGTTGTTACAGTCCAGTTGGTACAGTTTAGATGGTACAGTCCAGTTGTTACAGTCCAGTTGGTACAGTTTAGATGGTACAGTCTAGTTGGTACAGTCCAGTTGTTACAGTCCAGTTGTTACAGTCCAGTTGGTACAGTCCAGTTGGTACAGTCCAGTTGGTACAATCCAGATACATGGTATAGTTCAATTGAACAGTCTATCGTAAGAAGTACAGTCTATTTGGTACAGTCTAGCGTTGGTGCTACAGTCTAATTGTAGATTATCAAACAATTGTCTTATTTTCAGTACCTTTAAATGCATATTATTGTAAAGTTTTTTTTTTTTTAATTTCTTTTATTCGTTGGGCTTAAATTGGAAGAGTTGACTGTTGAGAATACTATCGCACGATATCAAGAACTGTGTCTGTTGTAGCCGACTTGATTGAATGCACTGAGTACGTCACAACGGCATCTATCAATACTTCCTGATTTGGCCAACTACGAACGTTACGCAACTGTTCTTAGAATCCTTTTTTTTACGAGGAATACCGGTCAATGCCCGCGCTAGTGTCAAGGTCGTTTGCTTATAGCAGGCATGAGGAAATGACGTCGGCTTCGGTCCAACAAGCACCGACCTTGACTCTAGTCACAGAAATGAATTTTCTGCACTGTCTTTTAGTTTCTGATATATATTTCACAGAACTTTTAAAGATGTGAGTGGTAATAATACTACTAGATAAAATCAGCCTACTCAAAGATAACCTCGCAATAACCAATTAACTGTGATCACAATTATGATTTACAGATAACTTTTGTACATGTAATATCTGTAATTCCTACATATGTACACTATTAATGATATAATATGTAATCATTCAGGCTAAAGGCTTGACATATCATTACTGTCGCGTAGATAATGTCCACGCTACTTCCTCATCGTTCACCAAGAAAAGGTCTGAGTTTCGTGGAAACCATTCTCTCACCTCCTAGAAAGCTAGCGTAAATATTCCCCACTGCTGGTGTGTGGCCTCAAGTGAACGGCATAAGGACACATTCTGGGTCGATGTCAGATGTCATGTGACACCCAGTCCATTACTTGGAATAATTTCATGCGACGCTTCATTCAAGATCGACATTTGAAAGTAAAAGGTCGTCTCGGCCTCTTCCGTTTTGTCCTCTCAACATTAGAGCTAGCATTTTGTCCTAGAGCTGTGATTGTCCTACAGCCCTGATTGTCCTCTGATTGTCCTGGAGCTCTGATTGTCCTGGAGCTCTGATTGTCCTGGAGCTGTGATTGTCATCTGATTGTCCTGGAGCTCTGATTGTCCTACAGCCCTGATTGTCCTCTGATTGTCCTGGAGCTCTGATTGTCCTGGAGCTCTGATTGTCATCTGATTGTCCTCTGATTGTCCTGGAGCTCTGATTGTCCTGGAGCTCTGATTGTCCTGGAGCTCTGATTGTCCTCTGATTGTCCTGGAGCTCTGATTGTCCTGGAGCTCTGATTGTCCTGGAGCTATGATTGTCCTCTGATTATCCTGGAGCTCTGATTGTCCTGGAGCTCTGATTGTCCTAGAGCTCTGATTGTCCTGGAGCTCTGATTGTCCTGGAGCTCTGATTGTCCTCTGATTGTCCTCTGATTGTCCTGGAGCTCTGATTGTCCTCTGATTGTCCTAGAGCTCTGATTGTCCTGGAGCTCTGATTGTCCTTGAGCTCTGATTGTCCTGGAGCTCTGATTGTCCTCTGATTGTCCTGGAGCTCTGATTGTCCTGGAGCTGTGATTGTCCTGAAGCTCTGATTGTCCTCTGATTGTCCTCTGATTGTCCTAGAGCTCTGATTGTCCTGGAGCTCTGATTGTCCTCTGATTGTCCTCTGATTGTCCTGGAGCTCTGATTGTCCTCTGATTGTCCTGGAGCTCTGATTGTCCTGGAGCTCTGATTGTCATCTGATTGTCCTCTGATTGTCCTGGAGCTGTGATTGTCCTCTGATTGTCCTGGAGCTCTGATTGTCCTAGAGCTCTGATTGTCCTGGAGCTCTGATTGTCCTCTGGTTGTCGTCTGATTGTCCTGGAGCTCTGATTGTCCTGGAGCTCTGATCGTCCTCTGGTTGTCCTCTGATTGTCCTGGAGCTCTGATTGTCCTCTGATTGTCCTAGAGCTCTGATTGTCCTGAAGCTCTGATTGTCCTCTGGTTGTCATCTGATTGTCCTGGAGCTGTGATTGTCCTCTGATTGTCCTGGAGCTCTGATTGTCCTGGAACTCTGATTGTCCTCTGGTTGTCCTCTGATTGTCCTGGAGCTGTGATTGTCCTCTGATTGTCCTAGAGCTCTGATTGTCCTGGAGCTCTGATTGTCCTGGAGCTCTGATTGTCCTCTGATTGTCCTAGAGCTCTGATTGTCCTGGAGTTCTGATTGTCCTGGAGCTCTGATTGTCCTCTAAATGTCCTGGAGCTGTGATTGTCCTGGAGTTCTGATTGTCCTGGAGCTCTGATTGTCCTCTAATTGTCCTGGAGCTCTGATTGTCCTGGAGCTCTGATTGTCCTCTGGTTGTCCTCTGATTGTCCTGGAGCTGTGATTGTCCTCTGATTGTCCTGGAGCTCTGATTGTCCTGGAGCTCTGGTTGTCCTGGAGCTCTGATTGTCCTCTGGTTGTCCTCTGATTGTCCTGGAGCTCTGATTGTCCTGGAGCTGTGATTGTCCTGGAGCTGTGATTGTCCTCTGATTGTCCTCTGATTGTCCTCTGATTGTCCTCTGATTGTCCTCTGATTGTCCTGGAGCTCTGATTGTCCTCTGATTGTCCTCTGATTGTCCTCTGATTGTCCTCTGATTGTCCTCTGATTGTCATCTGATTGTGCTCTGATTGTCCTCTGATTGTCCTGGAGCTCTGATTGTCCTGGAGCTCTGATTGTCATCTGATTGTCGTCTGATTGTCCTCCGATTGTCATCTGATTGTCCTCTGATTGTCCTCTGATTGTCCTGGAGCTCTGATTGTCCTAGAGCTCTGATTGTCCTGGAGCTCTGATTGTTCTGGAGCTCGGATTGTCCTCTGGTTGTCCTCTGATTGTCCTGGTGCTGTTATTGTCCTCTGATTGTCCTGGAGCTCTGATTGTCCTGGAGCTCTGATTGTCCTGGAGCTCTGATTGTCCTCTGGTTGTCCTCTGATTGTCCTGGAGCTCTGATTGTCCTGGAGCTCTGATTGTCATCTGATTGTCCTCTGATTGTCCTAGAGCTCTGATTGTCCTGGAGCTCTGATTGTCCTGGAGCTGTGATTGTCCTGGAGCTCTGATTTTCCTCTGATTGTCCTCTGATTGTCCTCTGATTGTCCTAGAGCTCTGATTGTCCTGGAGCTCTGATTGTCATCTGATTGTCCTGGAGCTCTGATTGTCATCCGATTGTTCTCTGATTGTCCTAGAGCTCTGATTGTCCTGGAGCTCTGATTGTCATCTGATTGTCCTCTGATTGTCACCTGATTGTCCTCTGATTGTCCTAGACCTCTGATTGTCCTGGAGCTCTGATTGTCCTGGAGCTGTGATTGTCCTGGAGCTGTGATTGTCCTCTGATTGTCCTCTGATTGTCCTCTGATTGTCCTGGAGCTCTTATTGTCCTCTGATTGTCCTCTGATTGTCATCTGATTGTCCTCTGATTGTCCTCTGATTGTCCTGGAGCTCTGATTGTCCTCTGATTGTCCTGGAGCTCTGATTGTCCTCTGTCCTGGAGCTCTGATTGTCCTCTGATTGTCCTGGAGCTCTGATTGTCCTCTGTCCTGGAGCTCTGATTGTCCTCTGGTTGTCCTGGAGCTCTGATTGTCCTCTGTCCTGGAGCTCTGATTGTCCTCTGATTGTCCTGGAGCGACTTTTATGACAAGCCGTGTTCAAACTAATCAAGCGTGTCCTAGCAGACAGCGCCACCTGTCGGTGGACCTGCCTCGATCGATTGACGGTTCGATACAATCGCCGATTGTCTTTATTGTTTTATTAGAGGCTTTAATGATTGTGTCAACTTTGCGGGAGAGATAAGGCCAACTTTATGACACATTTGTTCACTTGAATGCTACCTTACTTTGATGGTACAATTGTTCACTTGAATGCTACCTTACTTTGATGGTACATTTGTTCACTTGAATGCTACCTTACTTTTGATGGTACATTTGTTCACTTGAATGCTACCTTACTTTTGATGGTACAATCGTTCACTTGAATGCTACCTTACTTTGATGGTACAATCGTTCACTTGAATGCTACCTTACTTTGATGGTACAATCGTTCACTTGAATGCTACCTTACTTTGATGGTACATTTGTTCACTTGAATGCTACCTTATTTTGATGGTACAATTGTTCACTTGAATGCTACCTTACTTTTGATGGTACATTTGTTCACTTGAATGCTACCTTACTTTGATGGTACATTTGTTCACTTGAATGCTACCTTACTTTGATGGTACATTTGTTCACTTGAATGCTACCTTACTTTGATGGTACAATTGTTCACTTGAATGCTACCTTACTTTTGATGGTACATTTGTTCACTTGAATGCTACCTTACTTTGATGGTACATTTGTTTACTTGAATGCTACCTTACTTTGGTGGTACATTTGTTCACTTGAATGCTACCTTACTTTGATGGTACATTTGTTCACTTGAATGCTACCTTACTTTGATGGTACATTTGTTCACTTGAATGCTACCTTACTTTGATGGTACATTTGTTCACTTGAATGCTACCTTACTTTGATGGTACATTTGTTCACTTGAATGCTACCTTACTTTTGATGGTACATTTGTTCACTTGAATGCTACCTTACTTTGATGGTACATTTGTTTACTTGAATGCTACCTTACTTTGGTGGTACATTTGTTCACTTGAATGCTACCTTACTTTGATGGTACATTTGTTCACTTGAATGCTACCTTACTTTGATGGTACATTTGTTCACTTGAATGCTACCTTACTTTGATGGTACAATTGTTCACTTGAATGCTACCTTACTTTTGATGGTACATTTGTTCACTTGAATGCTACCTTACTTTGATGGTACATTTGTTTACTTGAATGCTACCTTACTTTGGTGGTACATTTGTTCACTTGAATGCTACCTTACTTTGATGGTACATTTGTTCACTTGAATGCTACCTTACTTTGATGGTACATTTGTTCACTTGAATGCTACCTTACTTTGATGGTACATTTGTTCACTTGAATGCTACCTTACTTTGATGGTACATTTGTTCACTTGAATGCTACCTTACTTTGATGGTACATTTGTTCACTTGAATGCTACCTTACTTTTGATGGTACATTTGTTCACTTGAATGCTACCTTACTTTGATGGTACATTTGTTTACTTGAATGCTACCTTACTTTGGTGGTACATTTGTTCACTTGAATGCTACCTTACTTTGATGGTACATTTGTTCACTTGAATGCTACCTTACTTTGATGGTACATTTGTTCACTTGAATGCTACCTTACTTTGATGGTACAATTGTTCACTTGAATGCTACCTTACTTTTGATGGTACATTTGTTCACTTGAATGCTACCTTACTTTGATGGTACATTTGTTTACTTGAATGCTACCTTACTTTGGTGGTACATTTGTTCACTTGAATGCTACCTTACTTTGATGGTACATTTGTTCACTTGAATGCTACCTTACTTTGATGGTACATTTGTTCACTTGAATGCTACCTTACTTTGATGGTACATTTGTTCACTTGAATGCTACCTTACTTTGATGGTACATTTGTTCACTTGAATGCTACCTTACTTTGATCGTACATTTGTTCACTTGAATGCTACCTTACTTTTGATGGTACATTTGTTCACTTGAATGCTACCTTACTTTGATGGTACATTTGTTTACTTGAATGCTACCTTACTTTGGTGGTACATTTGTTCACTTGAATGCTACCTTACTTTGATGGTACATTTGTTCACTTGAATGCTACCTTACTTTGATGGTACATTTGTTCACTTGAATGCTACCTTACTTTGATGGTACATTTGTTCACTTGAATGCTACCTTACTTTGATGGTACAATTGTTCACTTGAATGCTACCTTACTTTTGATGGTACATTTGTTCACTTGAATGATATCTTACTTTGATTTTACTATTGTTCACTTGAATGCTACCTTACTTTGATGGTACATTTGTTCACTTGAATGCTACCTTACTTTGATTTTACATCTATTCACTTGAATGCTACCTTACTTTTGATGGTACATTTGTTCACTTGAATGCTACCTTACTTTGATGGTACATTTGTTCACTTGAATGCTACCTTACTTTGATGGTACATTTGTTCACTTGAATGCTACCTTACTTTGATGGTACAATTGTTCACTTGAATGCTACCTTACTTTTGATGGTACATTTGTTCACTTGAATGCTACCTTACTTTGATGGTACATTTGTTTACTTGAATGCTACCTTACTTTGGTGGTACATTTGTTCACTTGAATGCTACCTTACTTTGATGGTACATTTGTTCACTTGAATGCTACCTTACTTTGATGGTACATTTGTTCACTTGAATGCTACCTTACTTTGATGGTACAATTGTTCACTTGAATGCTACCTTACTTTTGATGGTACATTTGTTCACTTGAATGATATCTTACTTTGATTTTACTATTGTTCACTTGAATGCTACCTTACTTTTGATGGTACAATCGTTCACTTGAATGCTACCTTACTTTGATGGTACAAATTTTTCATTAGAATGCTACCTTACTTTTGATGGTACAATCGTTCACTTGAATGCTACCTTACTTTGATGGTACATTTGTTCACTTGAATGCTACCTTACTTTGATTTTACATCTATTCACTTGAATGCTACCTTATTTTGATGGTACAATTGTTCACTTGAATGCTACCTTACTTTGATGGTACATTTGTTCACTTGAATGCTACCTTACTTTTGATGGTACATTTGTTTACTTGAATGCTACCTTACTTTGGTGGTACATTTGTTCACTTGAATGCTACCTTACTTTGATGGTACATTTGTTTACTTGAATGCTACCTTACTTTGGTGGTACATTTGTTTACTTGAATGCTACCTTACTTTGATGGTACATTTGTTCACTTGAATGCTACCTTACTTTGATGGTACATTTGTTCACTTGAATGCTACCTTACTTTGATGGTACAATTGTTCACTTGAATGCTACCTTACTTTGATTTTACAATTGT